GTATCTAACAAATTCTCTTCCTTGGTGATACAACAACCGAGGTTAACATGTAAATTTGAGTCTGAAAAAAAAAGTCCTTCGTAGGTCGCGTGGAGTTATGTCACGGTACCCAGAGTCAAACAACTGTCTGTAAAAGTATGGGTTAGATCATCATTTCTCCGATAATATAAGATAAACTGAATTCAAATATTCATTATCATCATGAAAATATGCTTACTTGCTATGGGATTACTTTGCTGCATGAGCTACATGATAAATCAAAGTCGTCGTAGAATCAAAGAAAAAAAATACCATAAAAAGACTAAATAAGCATCTGAACAACCTTCTAAAATATTACAATAAATTTCAGATATATATTCTAGGGATTTTTTTTCAGTTTCTTTCCTATTTTTTTATTTTTTCGTTTGATTATTTTTTTTTCCGAAGTCAACGGTCACGTCAGCGATGAAAGGTTGGCACTGTCTCGCGAAATATTATATTTATCTCCTTAAATGTTGGTTGGCATTTTCTGTATGTTTTCTTGTTTCTTTTTAGCTTTTCCCGAAACAAATTTAAATCATTTGAGTAAATATTTTTTGAGAGAGAGAGACCGTCTGGGACGAAAATCCATTAGTGTAGTGTATGTACTGCTTAGCGTTTGAGACCCTTGAAATCTCGTGATTACGATCATCGTTTTGTTGACGATTTGCGATGAACACACTTACCAACGCACGACGGTCACCGAATCGAAAGCTATAATTTCTTAAGTGTCACCATAATTAACCGTGTAACTCTTAAAATTTTATAACCGATTTTACAAATATTATTGATTTACCTTCAAGCCGTCGCCGGTGTCTCGGTGGAGAACCCAGAAAGTAAAAAGTTAAAATGCTTAATAAGTCCATAAATAACAACAGACAATCACTCAGTGGTTGTTCCAAACCCTTTGATCACCAAAATGATCTTTTTTCCGATTTTCACGTGGTTTTTACACGTTTTATTAGATGTACCGCCTGATCAGTTGTTCGACAGTCACGTGGAATTTGGTTAAGAGGTTAAAGTAAGCTGTGAGATATACGGTACTCTTTTACTTAATGAAGATCGTATCTTACTCTGAGGCGTGAAGTAGACGATTAAAGGTCATCAGAAAACGACAAACAGGCTATCCGACACGGGGGGGAAATCGGGATCGGGGTTCTGAGAGAGCAGCAGCACATGCCCAGCAAAAATTGATCCAAGTAATCCCTTACCCAATTATCTGATAAAGGTTTGACGGGAGAAAACAATTGCTAGGAGGGACAGCAACTACCTGGAGGTAGTATATCTTTTTAACTTCAGAATTGTTTCCACTTTGCCCATTGTGAGACATTTAACTGTTTAGACTTCCAACGAGTGAAACGAACTCAGTGGCTCTCGACTACTGAACAATGGGTCCGAAAGGTGTAGAAAATTTGACGATCGAAGCACCATTTTGTCCATATAAACTGCACACTCTATATCTGTACCCTACCCCAAAGAACTGCCTTTTTTCACGGTCAGGGCCGGGCTCCCTCAAGAAGCTGGAGCCCGACCACACCGAAAGTTTTTAGGAATTCCCCATCAGGTGGGTGAAGTGGAATTGTAATGCTTCAATTAATTCCTCATGAAGAGCATTTCTTCAACGAGGCCTCAGAAAATTTTGAGAACAATTGCAGTGCGGTAATGAAGTTCATACACCATGGCAACAGGTAATTCTCCGTCACGGCCGTCACGTGTTCTCTGTCACGGGTGATGTTTGTCACAAGATAAAAGGATTGTTGTCAATTATTTTTTTTTAATTTTAATTTTTTAATTTTTTCATTTATATATATACTATTCGTGTCGCTTCTTTCTGGATGCTGTGCGATTTCGGGGTTTGAGCGCCATCTCAGACTGGCTGATCACTCGCCTCGATTTCATGTTAGAGCCTTGAACCCGCTGGCTAAGTGGAAGTCCCATGGATTGACTCCGCCTCGGTCTGGATCATTTAATCGAACGAAATGATTTACTGTAGAAAAAGAGCTTTGAGCTGCGCCACCAATCGATATTCGTAGGTTTCATTATGAACTGGATTTTGTTGCGCCAGGACAAAAATATCCATTTTAAGCGAGATCGAACGTACGTTACTCAGTCATCTTTTACAATCACTCTCTTATTTAATTTTCACACACAGTAAAGCCACTTTGAACCTAAAGGAGACTACAAAATTTCATTTTAAGAAGATTTAAGGGGGGTACTGTAATGATTTTAGTTTTTGTGGGATGCGAATCATTCTTCTTGATGCATGAACCAGCAGGCGTCGGAAAACAATGGCTAAAACTATAGATTTCTTTTGGGGGTACTACGGCTTTGTTGATAGAGCAGGGCTGCACAGAAATCATACCCCTTTTTTCGCGATTGAGGAAAGTGTTGCTCAGTGATTCACCTTTTTTGTGTGCGAACTGTGACACAGATTCCTCGTAAAGCTCCTGGTTCGACCTTTCTATTGTAAACCTGTAATCTAAAGCACCCGACCGTTGATTTTGAACCAGGTCCAAATGCTGTGGGGTCAATTCATTCCCAGGGAATCACATCTTTTCCTTAATTATTAGTAGCTCTTGTGATTTCTTTTACATAAGTTGCCTTCAAAGAAAAGTCAAATTTTCTTGATTAACCGCATTCTAATTGGCATCCTCAAGGGATTTCATTAACATTTATTTATTTCAAGTCGGTATTTCCTAATCCTTAGTTTAATTTGCAAAAATACTTTTGTTTTCTGCAAAATAATTTAGGCGAGATTGATTCGATTCTTTTCTAAGAAGCGACCGTAGATATCTTTGGATCACGCTGTGCATTTTTTTCACAAGCATTCTTTTTTTCCCCTGTGTAATCAAATCATTTTTAAGTGGGCGAGGTTAGGACGGCGAACAAATTCGATGTTTAATTCGACAGCACCACAGCTAGAAATCACGTACACTTGCCAAGACAGCATTACAGAACTGATCACTCAGTATACATCAAAAGTCGTGCATAGGAATTCACAGTCAAGGTTTGTGTGAATCTTTTTTAGAGTGTTAGATATCCATCGTCACAGTTTGGATACGAAGTTGTGTACTTTGGATTGTCCAGTTACTGATAAAATCACATTTAGTAAGGGAGTACCCTGAATAATGAAGATAACTGTCCAAACAAGTTTGCTGCGCTAATGCAGAAAAAATTTGTCAGCGTGAGCACAGTGCGAAGTCAAACAGAATGCACTCAGCGGCGGTTTTTTTGCTTTTTCTCGGTGTTAGGAAGTTTGCCTTACAAATCGGAGCCCCTTTTTAGCTGAATTCTCCGAATGAAAGCTACTACGTTGATAAAATGTTGTTCTTGTCGGCTCTCAGTTCTGATCTGCGTTTGATTTCCATCCGAATATAAGATTTGCCGATTATTGCGCCTAAATTGAGTATACAGCTCTCGATTATGTACATCCAAAACTAGCTGGATTCTAGTCTTTAAAAAAATTTACTCGTGCTTATTTATTCCAAAT